TTGATGTGTTTCCTGTAATCGGTGCAAGTTTAACCAATGTTTTATAACCCCTTTTAGTAGATAAGATTATTAATATGTATGCAAACTACCCGATATTTGAGCTTGAATGAAAGCTTATTTTATGTGAGAAACTTTGGTATGAATGAGAAGTGGGAAATATGTACGATACTTGCATTAAGAAACGTTATAGAAGTATTAATAAAATCTGGCAAAGATGTCCCCATTTAATAAATTGAAGCATCATGTTAATTTATGCATGAAGAAGAACCTTGCGGGACGTGGCCCTGCCCTGCAGCCAATATCTGATTGGAACAATGACCTGTGGGACGGACTTATGCAGCTGGATCAAAAACCTAATGTCTGAACAGATTCAGTGCCTTTTCGCCTTTGTGTTAAATCGTGCTCCAAGTTGCGCACACACACTGCACCATCAAGCGATCGGGTCATCCAGAACTCAAACACTTCAGTTGAAACTTCGTGACTGCCAGAGATCTTCAAAAGCCTAAAGTCTTACAAACTCATACTCTTTCAGAAGAACTGCCAAAGCCTCTGCGTCACCAGGAAACCCCATTCATCACCAAGCTTTCCCAAAGACGTCATCCAAACGACAGTTCTGGACGACCGTTGATAAAGTGTAAACTATCAATTTTGGAATCAGTTCAATCAGGTTGATCTTGAATCTTCAGGTTCGATTCCCCCTCTGAAAACCTGAGCTAAAATAAAAAAGTTACATTTTCCCTACATAATGGTGGAGAATGCGGGCAGATTTGGCTTAAAAAATTCATAAAACCAAGACATTATTGTGAATCTTTTCTATTTTTATCCGGAAGAATAGATTAGATACAGAGAAACAGAGTTTGTTGTGTTACTGTATACTATTGTGGCATGCCAGCGTATTGAATGTTTGAATGTGCAACTCGAGTTGTTTAAAGAAGTGAACTGCAGTAAAAACATTTTAATTTTGTCTGTCGAGACAAAAACTAAGTCGCTCTAAAAACGCACGAAGAGAGAAGCAAGTGTGTTCCTTGTTTTTCTCTCTCTTAAAAGGCCTTCATAGTTTGATGTGTTGTGCGTATCCCACTTCCAGTCAGACTATTCATCTCCCGGCTTGAGAATTAATTTAGCTAATTAATGCTCTCTTGCCATTTATTCACTAAAACTAGTGAACTTGAAAACGCGGCGCTCAGAGAGTGTCCAAACGTTATTTTATGGGAGATTGT